GGAATGTTCTGCAGCAGAAGTAGTTCCCCATAGCGATTGAGTTAGCGCAGCATCGCTTTCCTCCAACTGAAAAAGAGAGAAGAATGTTATAAGAGATCTAAGAAAGATTCAATTTCTTGCGGTAAAATATTTCGATAGTTACCTTTCTCCTAAGATCTCTGTTGGTTTCCAATAGCATTTCCTCCTGTAAATTGATGAGTCTAAGAGTGTGTCGTATTGAGATTATTGGACATTTTGTGACTGTATTGTACTATATATAGAGTATGTACCTTTGTTTTGAGGTCAGATAATTGATCAAGCATAGACCGAGCCTGGTCATGAAAAACAAAGCCAAGATTTGGTACTGTTGTAAATGAATGCTCTTAGGACCAAATAATCGAATACAAATTTATCGATTTCGTATACCTTTGTGGATCTTATTTGTCTTAGTGATGCATCTACTTGGCGTTCTAGCTGCTCAAGCTCATTCACTCCCATCTCGGTTAGCTCTTCACCTAGCAAATGCCTAGAGAGAATTGCAGATTCCACTAGAGTTTTAAGTAAGTAATTGGAGTAAAGCGAATCATCTCTAAAATGTGTTATGAATCAAGCTATATGTACCTTTGTGAATGTTGAAGGATATCAGCTCTTGATTTGAGCTTCAGGTAGTCTTGGTACTTCTCCTGCCATTCAAGAGAAAATTAAGGACAACTTTTTAAAATAGGTCAGTCTTTGATCTTTATAAATAGAGAAGTTATGTATGTACCTGCAAGTCTTTAGCTGATTGATTTGGATCCATAGTTGCATAACTATGTCTTCGATACTTCTCAACCGTCTTCGCCATACCACTATATTCATACAAACAATTTAAATGAACATTGAATTAATCCATCAAAATTTGAATATAATCCATTAACATCTGCTACATATCTAGGCATGAAATGATATATGCACAGTTCCAAGAACACGTCAAGATCAGTCTCAATCTCATGATGCATGTTTTGCAGTAAAAAAAAAAGTTTCTAATTAAATTGTTCCAAAGTAGGGGAAAAAACAGAAAGATTTGTTTATGTGCAAAAGAAAATTGTGAAATTGAGTATCATCACAGTTCTCTCTCTAACTTTAGTATAATTACAAGTACTTGAGAGATACTAATTTGAACAAGTACTCAAAGTGTTTTTTTTGTGTGTTTCTTTACAAGCTTTGTGTATAAACCAGAGGTCAATCCTTTGTCTCTTTGGAAATTTGGATCAACCCTTAGGCAACAACATCAATAAGACTCAACTTCATGTGTAAAAGCATTAACTATAAATATATAATATATAGTTTCTATGCACAAATCTCATGAACAATACTTTATATCTATTCAATGTCTCTATAGCTTTAATCATCATCTATAGCAATTAAGACGACCCTCATAATCTGATCATCTTTTTGTTAATTTAATCTCAATCTAGGAGGCAGATTTAAGCATAAGAAAACCAAGAACTCACATAAGAAATGAAACCCTAAGAATCAAAGTAGAAAGACTACAACTTTCATATCATATAGAAAGAATCAAAACCCTAAATCTCAAAAATTGAAACTTTTGAGAGAGAGATTTGCTACCTAGGGCTGCTGCAGAATTCATAGAGCTTGCCACGGTTAGAGAAAATGAGAAGAGCAATCTCAGCATCACAAAGCACAGAAAGCTCATAAGCCTTCTTAAGCAAACCATTCCTTCTCTTTGCAAAAGTAACTTGTCTATTGATCTTGTTATCTATCCTCTTTAACTCCACTTTTCCTCTTCCCATCTTCTCTTCTCTCTCACCAAAACCCAACAAAAAAGTTTACCTCTAAACTCACAAATGATGAAGTAAAGAAGCTTTATACAAACACACACATAGATAAAGTGAAATGTGTATAGAGTGTATAGATCTTGTTCTAATAAAAAGGATTCTGGTTCTAAATCTAGGGCATGGATTGGTTTCCTCTCTTGTCCGGTGAC